ACTGTTCTTGATCATAAAAGTTTATTACATCAAGGAGTTCAGCATCAATTACAAGCTCTGCAGCAGCTTGGAGAGAGACCCAGCCCGATAACCACTCTGTCTCTCTGTACATCAAACATAGCTTATATAGGATGTGTTTAGGTACCATAGAAGGGTTCAGTACTATTCTGAGGTAACAAAACAAGGGTTCAGAGGTCAAATTCCATAGAACAGTTCAGTCCCTACATAACCATCAATCACTGCTCTCCCCTTAGGTCACTGACCCTCTGTCCTGCTGCTACAGTGCTATTTTAAACTATTATGCGTCAAATGCACATATATTATACACTACATGAGCATCACATCAACATGTTGTTGTTATATTTCTAATTTCTTCTGTATTAACGGAGACTAAAGAGGTTTGCAGGCTACATTCACAACACACAGTTTTCCTTCAGTGGCTTTGTGTTTGCATCTGTTTGGGCTGCTCATTAATGCAGCTGAATAGCCAGCTGATGTCCACATGTTCAGCTCTCTGCCTCCTATTCAAGCTGATCACCTGAAGAGAGGTGAAAATGCGCATCAGTCGCCTTTTCAAGCAGCTGATCCCCATTTGAATAGAGAGCCGACCTGGAGAAACACACGATGGCCCGTTAAGTGAACAAACAGCTTCACTGTGATGTTAATGATGTGTTTGGACTCTCTTAGCTGCCGAGAGAAGCAGCAGATGTTTGTCAACAAACACTTCATTAAAACTCTGCTCTGTGTGAAGCACACTCCCTCATACACATCAAATATGATCAGCTGGTTTCAGGAAACCAACTAACTAAACTTCATCTTCTGCCTGAACTCAAGGAGCCATGTTTCTAAACGGCCTTAGCGACAGTAACTAAGGGGCGGGGCGAGACGCCGTGACATCGCGAGAACACTCCGCGGGATCCCGCAGCGCTCCTGTATCTCAGCCTGAAGAGCTCCGAGACCAGAATCTAGACTCGGTCCAGGACAACACGGTCCACCAGTCACAGCGGAGACCTGCAGGACGATGGAGAACCAGAACCCGGACCGCAGGAGCCAAACAGCAGCCTCGTGCTCTGATAGCACCGATGTTCAGGTCAGTGTTCATGACTTCATCACGAGACTAAAGACACGAGGAAGAGTCTCGAGGGTCCGTGTATCATCCGTTCATTCTGTTGTTAGAGATCAGAGCCTGAAAACCCGCTCCAGGGTTTGTGTTGACGTGGTTTGATTTCCAAAGTGTCTCCGTGGTTCCTGTTTTCATCTTGAAGAGAGGAAGCTGAAAGAAAAACTCACGAGCGTTTCTCTTTTCTTTGTTCTGGGAGTTTTCCGCGCGGCGCATGCGCAGTGCAGCCCGTGTTGCGTCGGGAGCGCGCAGCAGAAACAATGCTGGTGAAAAGTGAAGCAGAGTCATTATATTTCCTCGTGTGTTGGTGAGTTTATCACAGTGACAAACAGTCTGCCTGCGTTATTATTCTCTGAATGACCTGAGATGAGCTGCAGTTACTTCAGCTGTTTCTAAACAACAATTTATTTGGACCCTAGTTTGTTTATTATGTCTCAGCTATGAGGCCACGAGGCATCAGTCGAGTGAAAGTAACCAAGTGCAACCTGCACAACAGGCTGTTCAAAAATACATTTTAACACGATACTGTCTCCCTGATTCATAGGTGTTTCTAGACCCCTTTACTGGGTCACGTGCTCCTGTATTCATGCGCTGCGCCCCCCGTAGTTAAGACCCCTTGGCATCGTTTTTGGACGTGTAGGGCTCCGCGGTGAAGTTAGCAACAAGACGGTGATTATCTGTGTCTCAGTCAAGGTTTAATGTTCGTTACAACTCTGGACTAATGCAGGATGGAAAGCAGTGGATTCACAGTGACTAACATGTTGATTAGTGGGGCAGACTGGACAATAAAAGTAAATAATAACCATCACGTATTCAGGAGGGCAAAAATGAGGCTGAAGCAGAACATACAAAAATATGAATTAATGATGAAGTTGAATAATTAATAAGCATCTTGTAAGTTTACGGTTATGTCAAATTTCAAATGGTGTCGTCTTTAAGTTTGTATTCGACGGAATACCTTATTATCTCATTTAAAATAACTGAAACATGTTTACGTGACAAAAGCTCCCTGTTTCTTTTTTTAATTGCCGTTAAAAATAGCATAATTTGAAATTGAATTTAATAGCTTGAAAGTGAAATCCAATAAACGTAAAACTGAATATACTGATAATAAATATATAAATAATAAATATAATATATGCACCGAGGATAAAAACTACTGACGCCCTGTTCTGCAGGTCAGTCGCTGTGAGCCAGGCCCAAACACTCAACAATCTTTACATCTATTCATGGTCACATAATTGTTTAATCAGCTAATATATATCCTATGTTTGTTTTAATATCTGTAGTCACAGATCGCCTCCAGTAGTATCAGCAGCAACCCGTCAACAGCAACTGTTCCCTGTACGTTATGTCAACAGTGTTTGAAAGCTAGAGCTGGGTATTGGCTGTCAAGGTCCAGGTTGACGGGAGTTTGTTTGCTGCTAATCCACCTTGGACAGTTGGAAAAGCTAGAGCAGATAATAAATAAACACTGAAAGATGGGAAGGAAGTACAACCTTTAGATCTGGGGAAAGTTATTTGGTTGGTTATGATGCTCTCCACAGTGATTTTACATTTATGGCGCAGCACCTCAGAATCATTATAGAAACGTTCATGTTTGCCTTTTGTGTCTTCATTTTACAGCTTCTGACATTTATCTGTAGACATTAATATAAAAAATAGGCAACATGAGAAACCAGCTCCCTTCTGCACATTCAAATCCAAAAAGAAACATATCCTCATTATCTTAAAAGGACTAGTTTGCATCACTAATTTGCTTTACTAACCTCAGCTCCTCCACAGTCACCACCTTTTCCCAACAACCACTTTTTCAGACTCATCTGAAAACTGAAAAATAATTTACGATGTACCTGTCTGTAGGCTACAGGACAGAGCTGTAGGCTTCACCAGTTTACTCTAAGTTTTACCTGATGGTCTCAACATTGGACAAGTAGGCATCAATAAATTACAGCTGCCAGTTACTTTCTATAAATTGAGCTAATGTTCAGTTACATAGCAGCCAAAAGCTACTCTAGCCTACTCTATAAGATTTCCTGCTCAGCTGCACAGTCTGAGGGGAGGGGAGCTGTTAGCTAGCTTAGCGCAAACCGGCTTCACTTTTCCAGCAGTTGGGGAAACAACAGACAGACTTTTCTTGGTCTTGAGAAGCCAACACACCGTAACCAACACATACATTTACTGCCAGAATATTTTCCTCCGCTCGCGTTCACCGTCCTTTTCTGCCGCTCGGACAATCAAACACTCGCTACGCGCCTCCCGATTTAGAGTTACGGTGCACGCAGATGTCGTTTGAAGAACGAGGAGAGGAAGTGTTACCGTGCTTGCACAGCGTGTGAGTGAAAATTAGTAGCGCACTGATATGATAATGACTGTGGGAATTTTTAGTAGCGGCGGCCACAATCCAGCAGCGGCGCACCACCGCTCTTGAATGTATATAGGGGAAACATTGACATAACAATATGTTTCTGTATCAATATTTTGAGAACAGCCCTATTTAAATCCTTGTTCCATGTGCCCTTTCTATACTTTGAACACCTGCCCTTCCAAAGGTGTCTGCACGGCCCTGACCATTTGTTATGTTGTCGATAGTCTTCCTGAGATGACCAACGAGGATAATGGTGCCTGCAAGGCTAAACTGGGTTTGGTCAAGCTCACAAGTGAGGATCTGTTGTTGTGCTGTAGGAAATCAGACGTTCTTTTGAGCGGTGTTTATTTATCAAAAGGTGTAATTGTGTGTTCAAATGTAAATTGTATTGACACTGCTCATTGTGAAGCTCTCTGTGCTGTGTATGGTTGTATTGTGGGACTTGTGTATGAGGCAAGTAGATGAATACGACACGGGGGTTACTCTCCCCAGCCCTCTTCAACATGTATGAATGATTTATCAGAACAACTAAGGCTGCAGAACTGGCTGTATGATTGTTAATAATAATAATAATCCTTATTTGTAGAGCACTTTTCAAAAACAAGTTACAAAGTGCTTTAACAAGTGTAAAGAATAATATAAAAAAACAAGAACACTCTATTAAATGATTTGCATGCCAATGAGCTGGCTATTGTTTCTCCTAGCAGTGAAGGATTTCAACAGCTGCTGAATATATTTTTGATTATGGGGTCAAATGTGATGTGCAATACAATGCTAAGAAGAGTGTTTGTTTTTTTTTTAGATCGAGAAACACAGCTCCAACCACGCCACCTTTATCCAGTGAATGTTTGATATTTTCTATGAAAAAAAAACAATTAGCATTTTCCATGGAGTGTTCTGAAACCAAATTGCATTGAATGAAGGGAAAATGTAGTTGCATTCAAATGTGTTATTATTCGTTGGGAAATTAGTTTCTCTGTGACATTTGACACTGTAGGTATGATGCTGATTGGTCTGTAATTTTCCACTGACAATGGATCTCCAATTTTGTATTCTGCGTAACTAGTTAGCATGCCGGAGTCTCGTTCGTTATCGGAATCTGTCAGCTCAAGTGCTAAATATTTGAAATCAAACAAAATACCTGGGGCACTTCTTCACATATCAAATGGCTGTGTTCAGACTGGCGCGCATCGATATTGACTGCCAGCTACCCTATATACAGAGTGCAAGCCTTCAGCTGCATTCTAACATTAACTTAGCTCTCCTTATTTGCTAGGCCCCTTGCATGCTGGCTAATAACTTTTTTAAGCTGGGTCTCCAACACTGACAGCGTTGTGTTGGACAGATTTGTGCAGCGGTGTTCCATGAGTGAAAGTGCTGCGTGAATGCTCTGCGGCGCTCTGCAATCAAATATGATTTTAAATAGGCTTAGGGGGGGAAAAAAATAAACGAAAATCAATCTGTGGCGGTCAGCATTTATATTGTGGTGAGCCGCCACAAATACATGAACTTATGGCCCAGGTAATTGTCATGTGATTCAACAAATCTTTGTCTTCTTAATAATGTTATTACAGCTTAAATGTATAAAGTCACACTATTACTCAAAATTAGATTTGACAAGATGTATTATAATTGCATTAAAAAATAACTACTTTTTGTTGTAAAAAATTGCAGCATGAATGACTTCTGGTGTTGTGATGGAAACAGGTTTACACTGGTGCCATTAGTGTCAGCTGCTTCTGGATAGCTCGCTTCACCATGACCTCTCACTAACTGTCTTTCTCTCTGTATGTCTGTCTGTTGATGTAGAAACGAAGAAGAAGAGAGGCACTCAAACGTCTCTGCTGTCAGCACTGTGGCAAATCCTTCTCAACTTCTGGATCTTTAAAGATACATCGGATGCTTCACACTGGAGAGAAACCGTACAGCTGTGACCAATGTGGGAAGGCGTTCACTACATCAGGTGATCTAAAAATCCACCTACGTGTTCACACTGGAGAGAAACCGTACAGCTGTGACCAATGTGGGAAAACTTTCACTCGAGCAGGTGACCTAAAAATCCACCTACGTGTTCACACTGGAGAGAAACCGTACAGCTGTGACCAGTGTGGGAAAACTTTCACTCGAGCAGGTCACCTAAAACACCACCAACGTGTTCACACTGGAGAGAAACCGTACAGCTGTGACCAATGTGGGAAAGCTTTCACTCAATCAGGTCACCTAAAAAAACACCAACTTGTTCACACTGGAGAGAAACCGTACAGCTGTGACCAGTGTGGGAAAACTTTCACTCGAGCAGGTCACCTAGAATCTCACAGACGTGTTCACACTGGAGAGAAACCGTACTGTTGTGACCAGTGTGGGAAAACTTTCACTACATCCAGTCACCTACAAAGGCACCGACGTATTCACACTGGAGAGAAACCGTACTGGTGTGAACAATGTGGGAAAGCATTCACTACATCGTGTCACCTAAAAGCACACCTACGTGTTCACACTGGAGAGAAACCGTACAGCTGTGACCAATGTGTGAAGGCATTCGTTACATCAAGTGAACTAAAAATCCACCTACGTGTTCACACTGGAGAGAAACCGTACTGGTGTGAACAATGTGGGAAAGCATTCACTACATCGTGTCACCTAAAAGCACACCTACGTGTTCACACTGGAGAAAAACCGTACAGCTGTGACCAATGTGTGAAGGCATTCATTACATCAAGTGAACTAAAAATCCACCTACGTGTTCACACTGGAGAGAAACCGTACTGGTGTGAACAATGTGGGAAAATGTTTGCTCAGAGCAGTACCCTTAAACGCCACCAACGCACTCATGATGCTTCGTTTTGAACATATTTCAGAGCCAAGTGAGGTGTTTCCTCCTGCCTTCTTGATTCCTGATTAGGAATGCGGGGATTAACGGATTTCACTATTAACCGCGCTTTAAAACGTCAGGACTAATTTGTAAAGGCTACATCAAGTGTTTCTCTTGTGGGGAACAAAACTGTTGCGTGCTTATCAGACATGGAGGCTACTACTGTACACTGGTTAACTCTGGCATAGGGACCAAACTGTGAAGCTTTATTTCCACCAAGGAAACAGCAGTTTTGGGGATAAACGGTTGCTGCTAAAGTAGCGAATACCTACATCAAATTTGATGTAGCTCGCGCGCACACCGCTGTCAAATTAGTTTAACATTTTTGCGCTGAATCCAGCTTCCACGCTGCGTAAATCGCTTCTTTTTAAAATTACTTTGTCAAATGAACACACTTCTTACAGATGTGATATATAAACTAGCTAACATCTGGTGTCAGATGTGAAAGTCCTCCTTGATCTTTCTCCAGCCGTCCACTGAAACCTGCTCCGTGACCTTTGACCTCTTCCCAGTCGATGCTGTGAGTGGTTCAGGTCTGGTGTTCACAGGCAGACAGTTCCCTTTCTATCACATGTGATGCCATACACCTCTTCAGTCTTCCTACCAGCAGAGATCTGAGGGTGTTTGATGGTTTGTAACTTAAAGGCTCTGGATGTTGTGACAGTCCAGCCATGTAAGGGAGTCCCACTGGGAAGTCCTGGTTTAAAGTTTGAGGATTGTCGTCACCCATCCAATAATCCATCTACGAGTCGACAACTGGAGAAAAATCAAGGAGATTCACCTCGGACACCAGAGAGCCTCTGAGAACAGAGACAGAGGTTACCATCTCCACCTGAGAACATCCGCCTGTTATCATGTGACTGTGCTGGACTAGAGTCATGTGATGACGACTGAGGAGGTTCAGTTTGCTGAAGAAGGCCATGGGATGGGGTCAAAAGTTCCAACAAAGATGTAGTGTGTAAGGCTTGAGTTTAGACTAATTTATTACAGATGTGTTCCTCAAAGTCAAGAATGAAGCTCCACGCTGGATGAAATATTGTTTCCGTGAGCTTCATGTTTTCTTGTTATTGTAGTGAAACATATTTAATCTTTATTTTATATCTGTATTCACTGTTTTTATTTTCTTTTGCTTATACTTTATTGTGTCAATACATATCATTTACTCATGTCTCTGTTTTTGTTTAGTGTAGTATGGTACACAGTTGTATTTCCTGAAGTATTTGGTAGATGTGATCAGTTGTGTTTTTGGGGTTTTGGCTCTGGTGAGTCTTTACCGTGCATCTCAAAAAGGGTGGAGGTCTCCAAGAGTTCTCATGTGGACTTTTTCTCTCAAATAGCTTCTCACTTGCAAATATCAATAGAAGTGATTACTATAGAGACCAAATCTATTAGCTGTATCTTCTGAAGAGTCCACTCTCTTCATTATATTAAATCTTGTGGGGTCCTGAAAACATCATCAAAATAGTTTGGAGTAAAATCAACTTCCCATGATGTTTCTCTTAAACAGGTCATTTCTTGTTTCTTTAGTTACTTTACATTTTTTCTCCAGATTTGAAATGTGTTAACTGTATATAGAGTAGTTGTGTATTTTGATCTGTTGTTATTTTCTGAATGTGGTTTTGAATCTGTTGAGGTTTGTTCAGACTGAAAGCAAAGCCAATTCTAGTCGAAACAAAGAGCCACAGATTCGTTAATGATGGCGCCAGCTGAGGTGAAGACGTGTCTGCTCAAGTCTGAAATGTTTCAGCTTCAAGGAAAAATTCAGCTTTGTCTTTGACAAATGAACAGAGAGACAAGAAAAAACAGAAACTGGAGGAAAGAGACTAAAGAAGGGGCGTTTCTGCTGAGTTCTGAGATCAACGTCTGAAGGACTCGGTACGCTTTGTAATGGAAATTTGATATTTTACTCTGTTTACTGTTTCACCCTCATGCTCCATTATAATATACAAAGGTCTCACTGTATGGTATTTGATATTTTATCATGTTTCAGCTAGGTGAAGCTTCCCATGGGAAAGATGCTCGTTTTCTTATCTGACTGACCTTGATAGGCCTTCGACTCAGGACAGCTGGTCCCGACTCCCTCGATCTTCTGAGTAATATAAAGTCACCTGCTCCTTCACTGGCTTTTTGTCTTACACTTTTCAGACTGTTTGGCACTCTGTATGTTTGTCTGACCCTTTGCAAAGAATAAAACCCTTAAAAGACGTCTGGATTAGAATCTTTATTTCAGAAGACTCACTAAAGGACATATTTCCATTACAGCTTCAAACGAATTAGATCCTAGATGCCTCTGGGTTTAACTGCTGTGGTTTGATCCAGTGAAGAGGAAGAGGCGCTGAATAAACGGGGACTACAAAACCACTACAGACCACATTTGTGTTCAGTCTGAACAAACCTTTGTTATTGTGAAAGTCTGACTGAATCAAATATTATCGTGTCTTCATTATCTGACTCCATTTTAACAGCTGTTTGCTTTCTGTTCTGTCAGTAAATGTGTTGCTTTCTGTTTAACTTGCATCCTGCCAGGGTTGGTGCTGTAATAATCTGAGCTGGAGACTTGAGACTCGAGTCCTTTTCAATATTCTCATTAAATTAGTCGACTCAAAGAGAAGCTTTGACTCATCATTTGAAACTGGACGTTCAATGAACTGTTTCCACTCAACAATATTTTTTCTGTTATTGATTGAAGCACAGACCATTTACCTGTTTTACATTTGATGATGACCCCGCCGACCCAGGCTGAGGGATTGGATGATGTTCATGATGACCTCATCATGAACAGAAATCAAAGAGAGAGATGTTGTGTTTTCAAAGGAGCATGATGAAAGTGAAACGTCCTGTTTTGATCCTGCAGTCACAAACCTTTAACTTCTACTTCAGATTCTGATGTCGTCTGTGCAGCAGCCCCAAAACAAGCGTTGGAAGCTGATTTACAAAGGTGGAAAACCTCTTTATCGTCTTCTCACTCTCACATTCCTTATTAAATATCATGTTTTCTAATGAACTGCGTCACTTGTGGAAAACAAAAGCCCACTCTTTGTCCTCTAAGTCTGTTTGGGGTCAAAAGAAACCTCCAGACTTTCACTCTCAGTCCTTCAGAGTCTAACAGAGCTTCCAGAGGTTTTGTTGAAGAGTCAGACTGTGTTTGAGCGCCACCTGCTGCTCATTAAGCAGACAGACCAATAAAGATGCAGAATAAAGAGAACAGAGTGCTGCTGTTCCTCCATCTTCTGCTCTTTCCTTCATTGTTTTACTCTCTCTGGATGCTGCTGTGCTCTGACAGGAAATCACTGACGTTTAGTGGCTGAACGAGCAGCTTTGATTTGTTATTGAACTTTCTAATGTGTCTGTTAGCTCACATGTCTTTGACCTTTACACCTCAGCTCATGTCAGCGTTGATGTTTCCTCCCTTACTGTAACGTACAGAAGCTGATGTGCTTCCTGCAGTAGTTTGGCTTGTATCTGCTGTAAGCTGCAGTTAATAATTAGATCTGTTCTGGCTCTATTATTACTGAGGGATTCTCTGTTGTTTGACCCTTATGGCCCAGAAAAGGTAAGAATTAACAAAATAAAAGCTCCTGTGGTGAGTCAACATTTTTAAGGTACTGCGATACTTTTTATACCAAAACTAAGATAAAATTATGACAGTAACTTCTTATCTCATCATTATGACTCAGTGAGTCAAAAGTTTAATGTCAGAACTCATTATATCTCAGTTTCCCCAGGAGGGGGCGCAGTCTGACTGTGAGAGTTCATTGTTCACAAGATTCAAGTTGTGGTGCTAAAATTATAATGAATTAATAGTTTATAATTTATATTAAGAGCAGAGCAGCACATAACAACACAGTCACAAAGATATTTCTTAATTTGGGAAAATACGCTCAGTGTAACATCATGTATTTATCACAGAATGTATTTAGTATGGACGCTCCACCAGCCGACATTTTAATATTTTATTTATGTTTCCTTATTTCTTTGAGATGACATGTGAGACTAAGTTGATGTTTATTTCTAATCGTTGTTTTTCTTTCAGATTTCAGAACAGCCCACGTGTGTTTTTTTCATCCCCCTATATGTTCATAAATGCAACCTTTTAGAGAAGATAAACTTTGTTCAGAGGACTGAAGTCTCCTGGCTTGTTCCACGCGTTCTGATCGGTGCCCACGATGATAGTGAACTCTTCATTTTGAACCTACTTTACAGACGGAGCTGTACGAGGTCTTTGGGAAGTGCAGATTACTGATTTGTAGGATGCAGTCTGAAACAGCAAGAACCAAATATGAAGGGTTCAAATGCAAGAAAGTTCAAAGAAAGTAGTGTTTAGAGCTGAAACGCTCAGTGAAAGAATTTAGTTACTGGGGAAAAAGACTAACTGGAGCATGTTGTTCAACAGTTACAACAGACAGTACTGTAGTATGTCCACACTGTGGACTGCAGCGAGTGTGTCGAGTGTGTTCACGTCTATATCAGCGTGTGAATGTAACAACAGATGATGACCTGATTGTTTTCCAGCTCTGTGTCACTCTTTCGCCCGCCGCAGGCTCCGACCAGAAAGGCTGCTGGCTGCCGGCTGCTGGCTGCCGGCTGCCGGCCGCTGGCCGCTGGCAGCCGGCAGAGACTGAAGAACCTCCGTTTGTAGCTGCTGGCAGCCGGCAGCCAGCGGCCGGCAGCCGGCAGCCGCCGCAGCCGGCAGCCAGCAGCCAGCAGCCAGCAGCCTTTCTGGTCGGAGCCTGCGGCGGGTTTTACTGTTGCTAGGCAGCCGCAGGACCAGCCGTTATGTAGCGGTTAGTAAAGGACCAGATGTGGAGCTTTTTATTTAAAGAGATATAACCGGACAGGCGGAGGCCGCTTTCTCTGGCTGTGACTGAGGGGGAGACAGGAAAACACAGGAGCTCCGTGTGTTACATGTTGGAGGTGTGGAGGCTGAAGAGCCGCTCGCTGCGCTTCTACTTTGTTTTAAGTTTAAAC